AAATTATCTGGCCTCTCTGAGCTTTGGTTTGCTCATCAAAGACTACAAATGTAAGATACTACATCTGTTTAGCTGTCAATGTCAGCTTAGGGGGCACCATTTTGATCCTTCCTATTGCCAGCTTCCTTGACTCTTTATGCCAAGTGATGGCATATCTGGTTAATACTGAGTTGAGGGTTTACAGGGGCTGCTGCCATGGGAAGCATCTATAGCAGTGCACATCACTGAAGCTATCTCATTTCGGGAGATGTCTGTATTACCCAAGACAACTTAGATTATCTTTTTTTTTTGAAACATTATGTCCACTGTTGTCTCAAGTAAAGGTTACAGTATGAAACATTTTAAGAGCCAGGTATGGTGGTCCATGCCTGTAGCCCTGGCACTTGAAAAGTAGAGGCAGGAAGATCAGGAGTTCGGTGTCATTCTTGGATACATAGCAAGTTCAAGGCCAGCCTGGGCTACATGAAAGTGCCTTAAACACCAAAATAATAGTAACAATAACAACAACAATAATACATTCTTAAGCAAAATTATATTTCTCTTACAAATACACATGGATTGATTCTCCAGCTGCCCTCAAACTCTGCCTGTATAGAGTGCTTTATCTACTGCTATAGATGTTATCATTTTGTTAAATAACAAAGAAAAAGTTAGCTCACTGGTTAAGCACACTAGCTGCTTTTGCAAAGGACAAAGGTTCAGTTCCCAGTGTCCAGATGGTAGCTTACAACCTTTTATAATTCCAGTCCCCAGGGGCTCTGTTGCTCTTTTCTGACCTCCAATGATACCAGTCACGCATGCAGTGTACATACATATATGTGAGCAAAAACTCATACACATAAAATGAAAATGAATAAATCACCTCTGAAATAAAGAAACCTAAAGTTATTTGTTGCTATGATCTGTTGAAAAGCTTTTGCCTGTTGAAAGCTCTTGTCTATGCCAGAGTGTATTCATCATTCTTCACAGATTTGTTTGATTTTTCTTTTGAAAGCAAATGTTTTATCCCTTTCAACTATTTAAAAACAAAATAATATACTTCTGTTAAATATATTTTACTAAATTCTTCCATAACTACCAAAAATCCAGCCAAAATACTCATCAATTGCAACCTATAAAGTCCTAAAGAGTCCCCTATTTTCCCTATTTGAGAACAATTTTAAATGTATGGCTTTATTTGGTGTCAATAACAGCAGCATCACATCAACTCAGAACTTATTGAAGAAGTTCTTGCAGAGTTCTCAACAGCCTTGGTCAATTCAGACCATGCTAATGACCAAGAAATAAGAACAGAGACTAGACATGGGAAGCTTCTAAGTAGGAAAATAACATAGATGAAAATGTTAAACATTTATGTTGAATGTTGGAAATCTTATTGGTAACAGAGTTTTCTTTCAGGCCTAAGTTTCTCTTGTCCACAGTGCTGAAAAGGATTTCACTTTAATTTCTCCCATTGCCAGCAAGTCAGAAACCGGAAGTCTTAGAGCTATCAGCCTGCAAAGCCATGAAACCAAGTGCTTTCAGAGTGTCAACTATTTGACTTGAGCACATGTTGAGAGATGGAAAAGTCGGTCATCATCCTGGCCTGCCCTGCCCTGCAGTTCACCGTTTGGTTCTAAATAGAAAAGGAGATAACTAGAGAGCAAATAGGGTGCTTTCAAGTCATAATCTTGAAAGATGTTCAGAGAAGCAAGAACCAGCACAGAACACAGGCACAAGATGTCACTAGGCTTGACTGTTTGAAATTATTATAGAGGAGAACAGTCTCTGTGTATTTAAAGAGTGAAAACTGATACCTTGATATTGTTGTGGGAAACCTTTCTATTTGAATCAAAGATGAATTTTGGACCACTTGTGTTTTATTTTCCAAGGTTACCAAGGTGATTAGGACTGGGGAACATATTAGGGCCAATTTTTTCTCTCTCAGAAATATATGTCCATTTCCTTGTTCAAGTCAGGCAATGCTACCAGCGTCTGCTGATGGTTACATTAAAACCTAAACAGGCGGTAAATTTAGCGCTGGGATGTGAGTGGGGCTTAGAGGCAAAGCCTTTGAGAGGCATCAGATGGCTTGGGAGATGATTGAAAGTAAAGAGCCTTGCTCAGAAGAGAAGACAGATGGCAGCCTGAGAAACCTTTGGGTATCCAAAGTATAACGATGGCTTCTTTGCACAGGCCTGAAAGACTGACTGAAGAGAACTTAAGGTAGAGAAGGAGACACTGACAGAGAAAGCCTTTGGGACTTCTTGAGTGCAATTTGCATTTTTAAAAGTTTTCTTTTTCCATGATACTCTTGATTGGTTTGGGTTTTTTCAAGAGAGGGTTTCTCTGTGTAGCCCTGGCTGTCCCAGAACTCAGTCTGTAGACCAGGCTGGCTTTGACTTCAGAGATCTGCCTGCCTCTGCTTCCCAAACGCTGGACTTAGTGGAAACAAACCAAACGTGATAATTAATCTTCACTGGCAGCTTGACTGAACTTAGAATTGCCTTAGGGCTGGAGATATAGTCCCGTTGGTACAGTATTCTCCTGGCATGCATAGAGCCCAGGTTGAAAGCCCAGCTCCACAGAAAGTGGTAGAGTGGCATGTGCCTGTAATACCAGCATTTGGGAGGTAGGGGCAGGAGGATCAGACATTCAAGATCACCTTTGGCTTTTAGGATTCTGATAGGGTCTATCTGTGGGTGTGTCGGTGAAGTTCTTTCCAAAGAGAATTAACCATGACCAAGACCAAGCTGACTCTGAGTAGTAGCATCTCATGGGCCTGTATGGAACAAAAAAAAAAAAGAAGAAAAGAAAGAAAGGGGAGAGGGTAACAGAAACATTTCCCTGGGATTCTCTGTTTCTTGGCCCACCTTTCTGTGAACTGCTCTGCTCTGCCACACCCTTTCAGCTATGACTGACAGACATCTCTGAAACCATGAGCCAAATTCATTCTTCCCCCTTTAAGTTGTTTGTCTTGGGCATTCTGTTGCAGCCACAGGAAAATTAACCAATATAACACAGAACCTAACCGAGTTACATTAGCGAGAAGCCTAAGTGATAGAGGCCGAAAGGTAGTAACCCCAATGAGAGCTGGCTGTGGTAGCAGGGAGCAGGGCATTAGCAAAAAGTGACCTCTGCAAATTGGGTGTGGGAACTCTGCACTAATTCAACAAGAGAAGATGCAAAATAAGTGTGGAAATGGAGAATGGTACATTTGCTTTCAGAGCGAAAGCAAAAAATAAACAAAGCAAATCCCGGGATCAGGGCCAAAGCTGCCTCATCCAGAGCTAAAAGAACCCGGGTGGAACTAACTAGAGATAACAGCTCAGTCTGGTCTCCAAGACTAGGGTTACAGTCCGTGGCTTTTTCCAGTCCCCCGTCGACCATAAATATAAAACAATGGACAACCACTAATGGCAATCTTTCCCTTAAGTAAAATACAAGCAGTAAAACAACAAACCTCCTAAAAATAAACTAATGATAAATGTTCCAGGCAAATGGTTCTTTGCAAGTATGTCCTAGATCAAAGATCACAAGGAATTTTTTTTTTTAATTGTTGCTTGGTCTGTAGACAGGAAGGCTACAGTCAGGGTTTCCTAGCCACACATTCCTACTTGCTAATCAAAGATAGATGTAATCTATTAATAGGGAATGAGGATAGTTAGGATAGTTGATTTATAGGAGCTTTTAAGTAAACATGCCAATTTAAATGTCCCATTGAAACGTTAAAAAAAAAAGTTACATGTGACATTAAAAGTGGTGTGAACATTAGGAAGACACTTGCCCAAGCAGAACTCCTGTTCTGGGAAATGTCACCTAACTTAATGCTATAATAGCAAAAATTATAATCTGAGTATTTAGCCAGAGTCATTTTAGAGGAGAGAATTCGCCCTCACCAGATTGTCCCGTGGGCAAGCCTGTGATGATTTTTGTTGACTGCTGCTTGATTAACACGGAAGGACCAAGATCTCGGTAGGTGCGGCCACCTGTGGGCTGAAGGTTCCGGGTTCTGTTAGAAAGCAAACTGAGCAGTCCATGAAGAGCAAGCCAGTCAGCAGTACTCCTCCATGGGTCTCTGCATCAGCTCCTGCTTCCAAGTTCGAGTTGCTTGAGTTCCTGCCCTGACTTTCCTCAGTGATAAAGAAGCATAAGCTGAAATAAACCCTTTCCTCCTCAAGTTGCTTCTGGCCATGGCATTTTATCACAGCAATAGTCACCCTAACTAAGGTAAACGTGTATCTTATTTGACTTAATCATTTGAAGAACTCTACGAGATGGATTACATTATCTCCATTTTCACTGAAGCTCAGGGATATAAAATGATGGGCCTAAATTCACATGGTGAAAAGGCTTTCATTTCATCTCTCAGAGCACCTCTCTCTTTCAGCTACCCTTTGAGGATACGATCTTAAATAGACGCATTTACACAGCTTGTGTACACACACACACACACACACACACACACACACCACAAACCCACTGCCACTATGTGCTGCCATTGAGCCTGGGGTAGAAATCTGCAGTCCTGGCCATGTCACCCAAGTCACACTAGAATCCTTCATGGCATCTCTCAGGTGGAGCTGAAGAGAGAAAGCTCCTTCTACCATGCCATCTGGTGAACGGGGGCTGGGCAGCAGGACCTTTGAAGCCCCTACTGCATACGGCTTCAGCCTCTTGGGAGATCATGATTTAAGAACAACAAGCCCATTCAAGAGAAACAACCGGAGAAAAGAGATATGAGGTCCCCATGACATCAAAGGCCATGGTTCCATTTGGTGGAGGGCTGGGAGATGTCCTACATCCAGCCCACCAAGAAGAGTGCCGACAAGATGATTAGGCATCCATTTTCTTTACGTAAGAAGAAAGCCAACCAGAATAGGCTGGAATTTGCTGGAATTTCACTTAGTTCACAGTGATACAACTTGGATAATTCAACAACATTCAAGAGCAGAATTACTATTTCTCCATTTTGGATGCTATTCAACTACATACATTCGAATTAAAACTGAACGAGATAATTACACAGAACAACGTGCTTTATTGTTATATTGTCACACAAGTATGTAATAGACTTCGGTCATATCCTTTCATTATCCTCACTTGCTTCACGGGCATTTTCTTTTTGATCCTCTCTTCTCTAAAAGTCTCCTGTCATCAAACTCCGGGGGGGGGGGGGGGAATCAGATAAGATTTTGCTATGCTGCCCCAGCTGGCCTAGAATTTGCAATCCTCCTGCCTCAGAATCCCAATGGTAGTAGTATTCCGGGTTTGAAACACCATGTCCAGCTGTAGATGTCAAGTCTTAACTCAGATTTCTCCACAACTTCTCCATCCTTTTCCTAAATTTAGACTCCCAGACAATCCATAAGCTAATAAATAGGCCAAGCCCTCCTTTGTCGCCTTTGTCAATTTCAAAAGTAAGAATGCTTCCACCGTGGCCAACATCAGACTTCTATTACGACAGCAACGTCCTAAGAAGAAATATATGTAGATATGAATTATCTGAAATGGAGAAAAGAGTAAAAATCACGAGGAATCCGTGAAGTTTCGGGATTTGTTGCCTTTGTGCCTAACATAATTTTTGCTCGCGTTTTTTGTTTTGGTTTTTTTTTGGAAGTTGTAATAAATGCATTATTTAGCAGCTGCGTTGAAGCACCCTCCTCTGAAAGTCGACCCCCTAACCTACTTCGTAACCTGGCCGCTCTGTGCAATGGTCCCTTTAAAAGCCTTCCCTTGAAGAATGTTTAATCAGCTGAGCAGAGGCTCCTGGGCCCTGCAGGAGCGGGGGAGGATGTTAGCAGCTCACAGCCACAGGCTCCCAGGAGCCCAGCATCGTCCTGTGAAACCGCGCAGGGTGGGGCCCGGGCTTCTCCCAGGAGAGGAAGTGGCTGCAGGAAAACCACGTGTGGCATTCCCATAGCAGCTGATGGAAGGCTGTGGCTCCCGGGGGAAGGGGAGGCACAGGAGACCACGCCCCGGAAACCTGCAGTTTCCACTGGTGGGAAGGACCCGCAGTTTGTTCTGTGAGGCCTGAAGCATTAGGGACGGTACATAGAGCAGTATTCACGGTTGATTCTCTCACCCAAATCTTCGTTTCTTTTCAATGGTGTTTGGAAAACCTGCTTCAAGAATTATTCCAAGTATTTTTTTGTCAAGGCTCTCATCTGTCCTCAAAAATAGCCCGGAAGAGGAAACAGGCTGTTTGTCCCGGAGAGGAGGGTGGACGTGGCCAGGAAAGCTCTCCATTGCACCTAGTTGAAAGCCACGAGTGAGACAGAAGCCAGCCAGTGCTGCTGTCTGCAGCTTCCGGCTTGTCCTGTACTGGGGAGTGGGGTAGCTGAAATCCACTGTTGTGTGAGGAAGAGGAGGAAGAAGCAGACTGTGGATAGTGTGGAAGGGCCTGTAGGACTGAAACTGAAGAACAGCAGGGAAATCAGCTCTGATTCATAGCAAATCCTGTTTAATGTGCATTCTCGCAGGGGGTGGCTGAGCTGGACCTTTCAGCCATACATCCGAAGTTGATGAAAACCCTGACATTTCTCATAATTGGACCTCATTAATAAATTCCTCAGGGTTCCAGGAGGCTGTGAAGAGGTAAAACAAGGGGTTAGAGAAATGAGAGCAACAGGAGATTGCAAGATCCCAAGTGGGGAGTTAATCCCACTCAATGAGACGGGACTGAAGCTATGTTCACAACAACCTGCTCACCCAGCCTTCTTCCCTCTTCAGCGGAGCAGGCTTTCCGTTATTCACTGCTCCCTTAACATTTAAACACCATTGACTTGTCAAGGGATGGCCCAGAGAGTTGGTAAAAGGCTATTTCTCACAATGTCTAGAGAAGACAAGGGTTTGATTTGATGGGCTGGGTAGAAAAGACGCTCTCAACTTCTGCAGGCCAACGTTATCAGCTGTGCAACATAGGTATATAAGACCCTTGTCAGGCTAGTTAGAGCAAAAAGGGAGAGGAGGATTCACTTTCTCTGTCTGAGCTATCTATCCTACGTGCTATCTTCTGCCCCCAGAAAATGCTCTTCTTTCTCTCTTCCCTCAGGGTTGGACTGACAATTCCCCAGTTTATGTATGGTAGACCATGTAAAGTTGTAGCTTCCAGAATTGCTATGTAATTACAATTACATAGTAAACCTGCTTCGATAGGTCCCTGCATATCACATTCTGAGGTTTCAAATATCTAATATTTGATAATAAAATCCCAAACTTTAACTGGAGATACCGATTTAACTTGCTAATGTTCCAGATCATTTGTGATTAACAAATGGAGGTCATCTTTAGTAGCAAGCTTGCTCAGTTTGTATTGTATCATTTCTTTTTCCCCAATAGAAGTGAGCCTGACTGCAAAATGCCCAAGGCTCAGATTTCTAGGAACAAGAAGCAAGTCACTAAGAGACACCCAGGCAGAGGAGCTGAACTCTGAACAAGAAAGGCCAAGACCGAAATGCAGGACTTGCCAGGACTCTAAATGGCTCATTCTCATGGTATCTATATTACTTACATGTGAAGGCTTTTCTGGGCATTTCAGAGGGAATGGTCATCTAGCAAAACTGTGGCAAGGGAGCGGCACTGTCGTTCAGTTTCCTCTTCCAATAATCACCAGCTTCTAGCCAATAGGGATCCCAAAGTCACTAGTTCTCAGCACGACTCTACATCAAAGAAAGAGTGTCATCTATCAGATGTGATTTTTTTTCCCTTGGTCCTGGTTAAAGTTAAACTGCAAAGTAGAGATGGAGGAAGAAGGAATGGAAGGTCCACTTGTAACTGATTATGGGCACCACGTCAGTGGCCATCCTAGACTTGCAGCTTCCCCCTCACTAAATCCACTTGCCCATGCCACATTCAGATGCCACACTGCTGAGGATAATGATAAAGAGGCTGCTGTTTACTGCTGGTGAAAGTCTCAGTAGGTACAACTGGTACAAGTATGTTTGGCAGTGTCTGGAAACGTTAGAAAGGTGCATACATTTGTGTAGAGGGCTTTTAATCTAGCGACATGACTCCTCTGATCACATCCAAAGACCTTCTAGGTCTGTGTGACCAAGCTGGAACACAGACATACCCTTAGTACACACCTTTAATCCAATGAAGGTAAAGATAGTTTGAAGAAAGTTAGAAGTTAGGAAGTTAGTTAGAAGGAAGTTAGTTGGAAGGAAGTTAGTAGAAGGAAGCACCCATGTTTGAAAGTGATGTCTAATTGAGAAGCAGACAAAGTGATTAATAAGAGAAAGATTTGATAAAATAGGTTCTGTGAAACTCTCATAAGAGCAGGGAGGAAAGAGAGGTAACTTAAGAGAGAGCAGGACAGGGAGGGGAAGCAGCTTTACCGGGACAGTTGTATAAAGACAGGTTGTAGAGAGAGAACAAGATAGAATCAGATAAAAACAGAGAATGAGAAGGAGCCAAAAAAATTAAAACATATTGTTAAAGTTAGTATGAGGCCAAGCAGAGCAATTCAGTCAGAAGCTGAAAGAAGCTAGTTTGAATCAGTCAGCTTGAAGAGGAGTTTGAGCGAGAAGAGCTGAGTTGATCCGGCCAGCAAAAGTTCAGAAAGAAATAAATAGGGTGAACTTATTCAGCAACAAGTCTCAGAGGCTGAAAGTTTTCTAGGCATAGATTAGCTTCTAGGCTAGAAGCTTCCAGGACTAGGCCTCAGTTAGCAGATGGAGGCAGTAAGCCTCCAAGATGACCATTACATCAGGTGAATATAATACTGTTACAATTCAATCCAGAAAGTCCACTGTTAGAAATATCTCCATACATGTAAGAGTACACAAAGATATATGCACACAAAGATGAACATAAATACTTTTGCAATTATAATACAAAAGTGGGTTATATATAAGGGAATGAAGAAGAAAATGAGGAACAAGACCGAAAAATTTTGGGCAGAGGATAGACCTATCTCAAGTCTCAGAAGTGGGGTTCAGTCCAATGTTAACCATTTCATGGAAGTGGAAAGGCCTGAGCACACATCTGATTTACACATGCATACATACATACATAATACATACATACTATTATATTGACTTTTAAAACTTGGGTGGTACTAAAGGAACTGGTAAAGATGTGGCTGAAGTCTAAGGCAGGCTTTTACTTTTTATTCTTAAATAGCTTGCTTATCTTGATTTTGTTTTACCACGTATATTTTTAAGACACTCATTTAAAAACTCAATAAGCCAACAAGCTCTTACCAAGCATGCTGATTTTTCCTCTTTTTATTATGCCCAAGAGCATAGTTTTTCCACCATGACAAACAGGTTTATCCAAGTAGTGCTGATAAAGCAGTCTTAAGTCAAGAGAAACCCTCAGTAAATGGTGAGGTTGTACATCTTAATGATTGATGACTCCTAAGTTTTATCTACAGAAGCCTCTTTCTGGGTGGTGCGTTCAGAAACTGTCAGAAAGAGAAGGGTTGCTGGGCAATAAAATGAGGGATTTGGAGTAAGGACCACATGGTAAAATAAAAAAGAGGGAGAAAAAGGAGGTTGCCATGGGACAGGATGGATCACGAGCATGTGGGCAAGAGAATTTTGTCCTAAGGACAGACAGCTATAGCAGAAACAGCCCTAGTGGGACTAATTTGCAAGTAATATTGGGGCACGTGGCTAGGAAATAGCAAAATGGCATAGAGAGTTAACATTGGCCCAGCTCTAGTGCTTTGAAGCTTATTAATAAATCTAAGAGATCTCTGTCTCGTTTATTTGGGGATAGACAGGAGAGAAAAACCCCATTCTCTTTGAATTTATTTCTTCAACACACCTGCTGGGTTGACATGAACTGGCCCAACTCATTCTACACCAACCTTGGGAAAGAGAAAAGGACACTTCAAAATACCCATCCTGTTAGGTGTGGTGGTGCAGGCATACCCCTATGAGTTCAAGACCAGTATGGTCTACCTAGTGAGTTTCAAGACAGACAAGGCTCCATAGACAGACCCCGTATCAAAAACAAAAAAGCAAAAACCCCAAAATCTCATCCTAGAATATGATTTCAGCCATGGGACATTCTGAAAGTTGCTAACCATGGAAGACTTTTAGTCTCCAGAAACTACACTGTGTGACACTGTGATGTTGAGGCTACATCATCTGCTCAAACGCATACAACTCAACCACAACAGTGACCCCTAATGTGACCCATGGTGTCTTGGTGTTAGTGGTCTGGATATTAGTGGTGTGTCAGTGTAAGACCACCAGCTGAACCAGTACCAGCTGTAGCCCTCTGGTGGGAGACACTGATAATGGGGATGCTGTGCACGTGAGGAAGTGGAAAGTGTATAGCACCAATCTTCATCTTTATCTGAAAAAAAAAATGTTTTATGTGATAACAGATCCTACTTGGTGAACTTGTTGTATGCCAAGTTAGAAAGTTCCAGATCTAGGTAGCAACCTGGAATCTTGAGGAGGGAGGACCCAGCTGCCCCCGCATGTCTTGCCTACTATGTGAAGCCAGAACATTTTTCACCCTGAGCTGGCCTCTTGAAGGCTTGGCCAGCTTCCACCTGGAATTTTAGTCTCCAACCTTTGAAGATCAAGGCCTCTGAATTTAGCCATAAATTAGATGTGTGCTCAGGCCTTCCCTCTCCCTTGAATTGATTAACCTTGGCCTGAACTCTACTTCTGAGGCTTGACATAGGTCATCACCTGCCCAAGGTTTTGTGGTCTTTGTTCCTTGTCTCCTGCATTCCACTGTGACATCTCAGTGGGGCTCGTGTAACCACTTCACTGTTTTCTACCAGAAACCCAGGCTTAGTAAGGTTGGTGACGCAGGAGTATTGAGAAGACATAACAGACTCCTGCTCCCCATCAAGTTCTGTCCACGTGTCCCCTCTGCCTATCTTCCTCAGTCCCTCTCAAATGACAAATCCGCTTCCTCTATCCTCTTCCAAAGCAACACAAAAAGGTTAATTTACAAAAACAGAGGAAACCTCAGACAGATATTAGAGAGAACTAAAGAGTTCTGAGCAAGACATGCTTTCTGTCTCTCCTCTCTACCTGTATACGTGCTGCAGGCCTTCGTCTTTGCAGTTATGCGCTCAGCTTCTGCATAGTGGGAAGCAAGGAGCCAAAACACCCAAGTGCCCAGCTACTCAAAAAGATAAACCTCCGGGTATGGGAAAAACAAGCAAGCAAGCGAACAAACAAACAAAAACACCAACCTCCAATTCTGGAAAAGAGTATTAGATGGTCCATGTCCCAATGGTTTTAGGAAGCAGGACTTGAAGCTGTGGGTCACCCAATGAGAAGGTGGATGGCTTGATTCAGACACGCCTCAGTGTGATAAAGACAATGCATAAGCAATCATTGATCATTCTGAAATTCTATTTTGTATATTTTCAAAAGATGTGTTTAGTTTTGTCTTCCTTGAGCTAAAATAAACTCAGACCTTGGGATTAGACAAATAGGCCTTTAGTCTTCCTCCATTTCTTAATAACTAGGCAACATTGAGAAAGTCTTAACCTCTTGTTTATTTTCCCCATTTGTAAGACAGGGACAATCACCCTGGCTGGCAAGGTGGCTGGCAGTCTGGCCTGCTGTCATTCACATGAAGTTTCCAGGTCATAACAGGTTATCAGGAAACACTGGCTCTCTGCTTCCTCGTTGTGGGCCCTTAAGGCAATGAGAGTGACCTTTCCACACCACTCTCTGGCCGTGCTCTTCCCTTGCTTCATATCCTTCCATGGATTCCCCATAGCTCTCAGCGTACGACCTTATCTCAAGATAAAAAAAATAAAATAAAGTTCTTTGGTCCTTCCTCATTGGTGTGCCATGACAGCTGCACTGAACTATAGGAAACTACTTCCAGTTGGCAGCTCCAGCCATGTTCTCACCTTCCCTGTGTATTTTATCCCTATCCAGCCCCCAAAACTTGTCCCATCTCTCCCCACTCCAAGACTTACATGAGTGGCTGAAGTTAGACAACAAGCCAGGGCAAAACCCAGGAAATATTTCCAGCTTTCTGATATCCTCTGCAGTCAGTGCGGCTCAGCAATTCACTTTCGAAATGTGGGCCTTGGAATCATCATAAAAACTGTGACTAATGCTTACTGAAGGTCTGTCCTGTGCCCAGGTCTGGACCTGGCCTAATGTTTACTCTCTCCTGGTGACTTTATTCCCAGGGCATTTTCCTTATTGTGGACACCCTTCCCACCCACACGGCTGTACAGCAAGTCCCTTTCCTGTGCTCCTTCCTGGGCAAGACCCTTCTTCAGCATTCCTAGAAACCAGCCCAGCCAGACTAAACAGGTCTAAAAACCCTGAGTGGCAGCTTATCCCACTACTTGCTTCTAGAAGGCTCTGCCACCCCTGCCCCAAGATGTGACACAGACGAACATAACTATTCACCTAACGATCTTAGCTATTTTCTTACCAAGATCCTCAAATTGCTGCACATTTTACCCAGTTGCTCTCTTCCCAAATATTGTAAATCTATCTCTCCATTTCAAAAAGTTTCACCATCCTATAATACCTTGAGTTCGTCGCTCTTCTCAAAACCTGATACCCTTCCCTTCATTGTGAATCCTAAAGACATATGTAGCAGCAAATTGCATGGCTTTTTCATGTAGGTGAGTCCTGGAACCTCTGGCTAACATGTTCTTTCCAATGTCTTATCATATGACCTGTTGTCACTCCAAGTCCGATGTCTCCCCTCTCCCAGACATACACAGGTGAATGAGGTTACATAACAAGCCGAAGACAGATATTTAAGATTTGTCGTCTCTAGTCTAGTATGGCTCAGCAATTCATTTGTCCCACAGTCTTTTGCAGCAATGAACTTAGATATCTTAATTGCAAGTGTGACTAATGCTTCCTGAAGGTCAACAAAGTTGGCACTAAACAATATACAAGAAGTTTCTTATTAACCTTCTCAAGTCCCTAAAGACTTGATGGATGAGGAAACTGCAGCTTAGAAAGATTAAGGTACTTCCGCCAGTGGCTCAGTGTAATGGAGGTTAGGTTAGACTGCAAAGCAAAAAGATCTCAGCATAGCAAATATGACAGCTGTGGCTGTCATACCTCTTTCCTAAAATTAGAAATCGCCTCTGTGACCAAACCTGACTTCATTTGAATAGGACTCACATCAACTGAGGAACCTTAGGTAGTGTCTTCTCCAGCGCTCCTCTAAGGCAAGGACAAGTCCCTTCCTTCAAGACATCAGAAGCCACAGAGCTTTCTGTCCTCCCACCACGTTTGGCCCTGCAAATGGCGTGAGGACAGTTTGAAGTTTTTCAAAGCTTCTATTGACTGACAGTTAATCTGACTTTAGAACTACACGTTGTAGTAAAATATGGTTTACGTGCTTCCCACAATTCCATGAACTTCTCATAAATTCTTTAAAACCAATAATAAGTTACTGTTGAACACTTAATTGAAACATGGCCTTTTGGCTGTGCTGGTTTCCATGTGAAGGGGCTCAGGAGCACAGTGTCCTTCAGATAACACTCATTCATTTGTGACTAGCAGGTCAAGACCTTCTCCGTCATATCACTGTTCTCGTAGCCCATGAATAATGGACACATTTGTCCACCAAACCTTTCACCCACTATAGAAGCTCAGGAGGACTAGAGACTGTTAGCCAATACTCTGGACAGACTCTCTCTGTGGAGAGTTCTCCTGCGTGAACTCAGACCATGCCCTGATTTTTCCGAAGCAAGATCAGAGCTCTGCTGGCTGAGTATATGGCTTCCCAGAAGATTTAGAAATATATTTGATGTGGCTATGAGATGAGGACCGGACAATTCTTGAGGTCTGGAGGGCAGAGGAGGGCTCCAAGCACAATGTTAGGGTTTGGCAAAACTCAAAAACATCATGCCAAGACCTTTTGCCTTCACTTTTAAGTCCATGTGTTTACTCAAAAAACATTTATTGAGAATCTACTACTCCCCAACACTATGCTTGGTACAAGAGACACAATGGCGAACAAGACTGACTAAGCCTTAACACTTACCCCACAGTGGAGAACTCCTCCTCCTCCACTCTTGCAACAGAGGATTTTTAACTTAAACAGTTATTCAAGGAAGGACACTGAAAAGCAAACAACACTGAAAGCGAAATTTTAGTACATTCCCTGTGAAGACATGTCACACGAAGAGGACATGTCACGTGCTACTGGACCACATCATTTAGGGCGGGATGAAAACTGATTTCATGTGTTAAAGGGGCTGTGTAGGGGGTCAGGGGTATCAATAAGGTGTGTCTGTTAGTTGGTTTACATATGAAAAATGAGCTACTTCCAAGAATTCTCTAGTCTTGGGGAAGTCAGTTTTCCTGAAAAGTAAACATTTTAGGACAGTAAACTATCAGAAAATTTAAAAACAATAATTACAGCTGGGTTTGGAGGTGTGTACCTGTGATCCCAGCCCTGGAGAAGCTGAAGCAATAGGTTCGATCATGAGTTTAAATACACCCTGGGTTATATAGGGAGAATCATCCTAGAGTGAATGAATAAATACTGTAGCCATTGGGTTTCAGTACAGGCAACAGAACCTACTCTGGGCATTTAAACCAAAGGGAATTTAGTATAGGCATAAACTAATGAAAGGGCTGGAGAGGAAAACAGAATTAAGGAAGCTCCTGGTGTTGGTGCACTCACTGGGCTGGGATTGGACATGGAATGCTGTTTCTCTGCAGTGGTTGACTGCAGCCCCTGTGCAGCCTTATTTACCAGCAAAAAGGACTGTACAGATCATCTTAAAATTTTAGAAAATTTTTGAAAGGGAAAAACAAGAGAGTACCTGGAGCCCTAGAATCTTGTGCTCTAGAGAGCATGGTGCACCAGTTAGACGTGTTAATCCACGGGGCTGAGCTTTTTCACCGGAGAAACCTCTATTCATCCTTGCCAATACCATCAGGGGTCCCATCCTTTGTATAGCTTCTCTTCAACCCGCAGACTGGTCTCTCTCTCTGTGGGTGCTCCGATGGAAAAAGATATAGTTCCTGTCATGGAGCCTGTCATACCTCTCCAGGGCTTCATGAGAAGCTTCCTAGGATCATTTCATGGCATACAGTCAGCACATAATAAGTGACTATTGAATGAGTGGTTGAGACTGGGGCCTCTGATCACAAACCCAGGGGAACGGAGAAGGGGCCTAGAAGAGCCCATCTAGCCAGAAAGGCACCAAATGGATGGATCTTCTTTTCATCAAGACTGAGGTCGTGGATGACATTAGCCCATCTTCTCCCTGGCATTGCTAATAATAATTGAGTTAGGGTAGCCCGAGTGGGGAGCTGGCAGCAGGGAACAGACAGAATGTCTCTGCTGTCTCTCAGACTAGTTTCAGGTGTAGGCAGTGGGAATCCAGTTTTAGCTGGGTGTGGTGGTACAGGCTTGTAAAGAGAAATTATGTGAGGCTGAGGAAGGTTAAGAGTTTGGGGTCATCCTGGGCTACAAAACAAGTTCAAAGCCCAACTGAGAGGCATAGATGACTCTATCTTAAAAATAGGGAAAGAGAAGGGAGATGGACTAGAGGAAAATAAAAAAGGGGAAAGGAGGGAGGCAAATCCAGATGAAATGAGATAATGGAATAAAAAGAAATATGGTGATCAGTATGCCACAAAGGCCAGAGTTCTGGCTTCGGTTATCTGTTACCTGTTGATTTCGCTCAGTTTTCTTCTGTGGATGTCTTAGTTAGGGTTTGTATTGCTATGATAAAACACTATGATCAAAAGAAACTTAGAGAGGAAAGGGTTTATTTCATCTAACTCTTCCAGGAAATAGTCCATCACTGAAGGAAGTCTGGGCAGGAGCTGATGTGGAGGCCATGGAGGAGTGCTGCTTACTGGCTTGCTCCTCAGGGCTTACTCAGCCTGCTCTCTGGTAGCACCCAGGACCACCAGCCCAGGGATGACATCTTCATAGAGAGCTGGGCCATTCCCCATCAATCACTAGCTAAGAAAATGTACCACAGGCTTGCCCACAGGCCAAATGGTAGGAACAGTTTCTTAATTGATGTTCCCTCTTCTAAAATGGTGGGGGGGGGGTGTTGTCAAGTTAACAGAAACTTAACCATCTTGGGGGCCTACGTTCTCACAATGGCTTTTCTCCAGTGGCAGTAAAGGGGATTAGCACGGCTCCCCAAGCAGGCTCTACCCATTTGACAGCCTCAGTAGATATAGTCTCTTTCTCAATACATCCAGCACAGTATTTCCAGATGTCAATGAGTCAGCCCAGTGTGGTCCCAACTATCCACTATTCAAATCCAAGAGAAGAAATTGCCACCTTCTATTAACAGACGCTGTGTCTACTCCTAAACCCAGCAGGACAGGTCTATGCCATCAAAGCCCGTGGTCTGGATGGATGCGACAGGATGAAGAAAACTCAGGGTAATGCCACCGGAAAGAGGAGTACGGGTGGCAGACAGTAAGAAGGACAGACGTTTGCACAGCACGCTCTGACACGATGGCATCTCCACAGCAAAACCACTCACTTCTTAAGCCAGATACCTGAGGGAATTGGGGCAAAGGAGAAAAGTAAATGACATTGCTTCTTATCTGATGAAAGATTGGAGAGGAAAAGAAAAAAAAAAAGAAGACTTAGAGGTCTTGAGTAGGGAGAGAAGAATGAGAAGGAAGGGGGGAGATGCCTGGGATGTAATTAATGAACAATAGAAATAATTAAGAAGGAAGCACTTCCCCTCATTTGTCCATGGGGCCTGGTGAGGAACAAGAGCAGCCCCTTCCCTGGAGCCTCAGCTGCTCGCTGCCTTTCCAGCCACCTCCTGGGGAAGAATGAAGCCTTACAACCAGCGTGGGCTCAGGGCTGGCCTCCACCCAAGCCCGAACAGTACCCCCATTGAGGGACCTCAGGGGCAATCCTGGATGCCTCTCCCTTCTCCCACTCCCCTCAATGGGCCATTTGTGGGATTAACAAGGACTGGGAGACACACTT